TCCTTTGCTTGAATTAAAGTATGAACCGCCAAGGTCAGAAATTTTTATCTTTTGGTAACCCGCTGATTAAAAGGGTTTATGTCATGATTTTTTCGACTAGTTTTAAGCTGGCCGTCGACTGTCTAACGCAACCCTTCACTTAGTGGGATAAAGGTGATAGGGTTGTTGTAGCTCCAGTGACGGACAAAATTAGAGAGTGCCATCGTAGATAGTTTGGTCACATTAAACGTCGGCCATTTGATGATCCGATTAGAAGGGGGTGGATGTTTTAAATTCGACTTATGTTAAGAAAGATAGAGGTAGACCTAGGATGACTTGGGCATATTATATAAAAAATGATCTTAATTTGTTAGAATTAAATGAAAATATGACACTAAATAGAACGCAATGGAGAAAAGGATTCATGTAGCCAACCCCACCCCACTTAGTGCGATGAAGGTTTTGTTATTGTTGGTAATCCGCCAATTCGTCCACTCTGCTTTAGTTTTGCTCTTTGCCCCATTTTTTGATCTATTTTGCATTGTCTTCCCTCATTAATTGCAGAACTAAATCATTTACAACCATTGAAGCATCATTACGGGTCGATGCACTAGCTAGTGCTGGATTTAGTATATCAAGATCAAAACTTGCGAGCTTAATCAGGTATTCACTAAACAGCCTATTTTTAATTTCGCTGACTATATATTTTATAGGGACATTTACACACATAACATACAACTCTTATGTATTTACATATATCACACCTCAACTTTCATATTTACACTCAATGCTCTTTATCATCTCAAATCTTTAGTATCAGATATAAAATAGCACTGTTATCACTTTTTAGATTTTCATGCATAGGTTTGAAGCACCTAAGCTGTGTATGTAAATTTCATCAAAATGTGTGTTTTACTTTTAAAAAGATGGTAATGGTTGTAATGTTAAAGATTTGAGGGACATACATGTAAATATGAATGTTTAGGTGTTAGATATGTAAATACAAAAGAATTTTGTGACATGCATGTCTACTTCTACTCCACTTCTGTGCTATGCTCATTTTGACTTGGGAATTTCATTACACTTGATGTTGTATGTCTATTATTACCTTTGTAATTAGGGAAATCTACATGCATAGCACATAATTCTTATGTATTTTTATATCTCACACCTAAACTTTTATATTTACATATATATCCCTTTGGTGCTTTAAATCTATGCATGAGAATGTGTATTTCACTTTTAAAAATAATAATAGTGCTATTTTTTATTTGATATTAAATATTTGAGTGTTTTTTGCGTAAATATGAAACTCTATGTGTGAGATCTGTAAATACACGAGAATTGTGTGCTATGTCTATAAATGCCCCTTGTTTAAGATGCAACAAATCAATTGATGAATGCAAAATTTAAATTTTATTTTATTCAGTAATGGAGATGTGCGACTAAATTGGTCTCAAGTGATGAAAAATGGCACCATACTCAAGACAGGAGATATAGTCTCTGTCAGTGGGAAAGGAAGGCTAAAGGTACAATGCTCTTCTCTTCATTTAAATTATTTCAAAATTGTTAGTGATGAAAATTTTGATTTTGTTTGTTTGAAATCAACTCGTGTTTGAATTGTCCGTGAATTATACATTTGTATTCGATTCATTTGAATTCGTGTGTGGCTCGTGTTTTACTCATATTTATCTCGAATTACTAAAAAAAAATACTTAATATTAGTTTTTGTTGGATAAAACATAAAAAAAATTTAAATAAATATATAAAAATTAACAATATTTATCATAAATTTAAGATTTCTCTAATTGATTCAAGTATATATACATATCACTCAATTTCTATGTATTTACATATCTAACATATAAACTTCAATTCTTACATACATGTTGTCTTACGCATCCATGAGAAGGTCTATTTCTCTTTTAAAATGTTAAAATGATGTGATATGTAATGTTTGAGTGGAATAAATGTTTAAAAAGTAAAGTTTGTGTTAGATATGTGGAGAAATATTTGCGTACGTCGGTAGGTTACATGAAGGGTATTGGAGGTTATATCTTCGCTATACCCCCCTGTAACCTTCCTGTAAGGCTGTAACCTACCTGTAACTAGTAAGTTCCGCGTTTCTGTTTCATATATTTGTAAGTTACAGGTAGGTTA